TCTATGTCTTCCTCTGACATGTCCATTTTAACATGTCTAGGATTAACGTCTTCAGTAACATCGACCATACCTATAAAGGCTGAATTTACCAATCGGGCATCTTCAGTAATGCTTGACTGAGACTCAACATACCCCACCTGAACTTCAAATGGACTAGTATCCACTTTCATCGACATCTCCTCAAATTTTAACCTTCCTTGGTCGATTGCATCTTGAATTATGTTTCTAAAATGTATACAATTATTAGTCCAATGTCCATAAATATTATGAAATTTGCAATATTTTCGACCATTTCTTTGATCTAAAGAAGGAAATTTATGATCATCACTCAATTTAATCTGTTTATCTTTCAATAAAATATCAAAGATTTTATCTGCTTTTGTTACATCAAAAGTATATGTTCGATTTGCCATTTTGTCTTTTACCTCGTTTTTCTGCAACAATTTACAAATATATGGAGCTCCTACTTTGAGCTCTGCTATGTTTACTTTCTCATCAATAAAATCTTCATTTTCTACCTCTGTCTTAGGATTCTCTTCGTATATTTCCTTTATGTATGCTACCCTATCTTTCTTTATAGATTTCTAAATTTTCTTATATCTTTCCTTCTCATACTCGATTTGTTCCACTCTTCTTACTTTATCGGCTAATTGAGCCATGTCACTCAAAGGTAAATTAACCAACTTTTTCCTAATAGAAAATTTTAACCCAGCAGCAACCATCCTAACTAATTCAAATTCGGGAATCTGAGTGAAACATCTTGATTTCATTTGTCTAAATCTATTCAAATAATCATCTATACTCTCATGATTATACCTTTTTATATTCATTAAGTCGATGAGACTTACTTGAGTTTCTCCCCTAAAAAATTGCTCATGAAAATTCCTTTCCAACTGGAGCCAATTATATATCGAGTTAGGTGGCAAAGTGGTAAACCAAGTGAAGACATTCTTTGTTAATGAACTAGGAAAGTATTTCATTTTTAATTCCTCATTCATAGTTATATCTCCACATTCAATTTGATATAGTGCCACATGCTCTATAGTAGATTCATCGATTTCTCCGGCAAGTTTTGTGAACTTAGGTACTTTATATCCTCGAGGTTATTCCGTCTCGAGAATTGTATTTGGAAAAGAAGAAACGAAGTATGGTTGGTTAAGTGGTCTTAATTCTATTCCTTGGGGATTCATCCTTTGACCCAACAAACGATTGTACTGTTTGTTATGTTATTCTGATTATACCCATTTTGAAACCCACCATTTAAATTTCCGTGAGCAACATTCCTCATATGCAGATATTGATCAGCATTTCGATTTCTCCTTAATAAATAAGGGGGATTAATATTGATGTTTTGGTTATTGTCCTGATTAGCATTATTCTCAACCCTCGTTTGTTGAGGTATTGCCAATGCATCATCGATACGTGTCATTTGATATGCTAATATCTCAAAACTACTAGTAGTGTTTTGAATTAATGGGTTTAATACTGTAGTCAACTGTTGTGACAACACATTGACCATCTCGAAATTACTTTCATCCATTTGTTGTCGAAACACCCCTAATGAATTACTGGAAATTCCAGTACTAGCATTTTCGATAATATCGAAATTAGATCGATGATAATATCTATCAAATGCATATCTCCCATGATCCAAATTCGCTCTGTTATCCTGGTTTGGAATTGGAGACATCTGTTGTGTCCCTAAACTTTGCGCATTTCCTGGATTCTGAGGTGTTACTAAAATTTTGGGATATACCTAAATTCGGGGATACTCCAAAATTTTGAGGCATTCCTAAGGTTTGAAATGTTCCTAGGTTTTAGGGCATTCCTAGGTTAGGTCTCATAGTTCGTTGTACTGAAGTGCCAACCCCATTTGTATTATTAAAAGTCAATCCAGGCGGTCTTACACTCATATATGAACCTGTAAATGTTGTTACGGGGCTTCCCGTAGTTTGCATACTATTTGACATTATAGTCCCAGACCCTATTAATTGAGTATTTGCTAACGTCCCTTGGCTTTGTTCATTATTCACTGGAATCGATGCACTCACATTTGTCGATATTACAGGCATAGTTCCATTATGAGCTTGCCCCCCAGTGTTTGGTGGATTTGGACTATTAGGAACCTCACTGTTACTCTGACTATTTGGTGGATTTTGATTCATTCTTACTATTCGTCCACTCCTTAATCTCATACACTTTTTGAACTAGCCAAATTTTGTGTGTTTAACACAATGACCCCTACCTGGCGCGCCAATTTGTTTCTGGTGAAATTTTTGGTTTTGTTTCGATTTCCTAAAGACTAAGTTCTAACCAAATTTCAACCACCGTAAGTTCTTTTTATTTAGGCTAGCAAAAAGTTTTTCAATAAAAAATGTATGAAGCGATAAATTTAAGTGCAAAACACGAAAAACGTATTTAAAAACCTGCAGACATCAATGAAATCGAAAGTTCTTTTTTTGTATTTTTTATTAAGAGACTCAAGAACATGAAAATCGGCAGAAATAAAATTAAGTGTAAACGAAATAACATGAAAGGCTATGTAAAATAAGATACATGCAAACCCATATAAAGCAACTAAATAAAGATAAATGCAGGAACGAAGAACACAAACTTAAATTTGCATGTAAATAAATTACCAAGGAAAGTAAAGAAAGCGTTAAAAAATATCGAGACGAAAAGTAATGCAAAATTTTAAATTGCACAAGAGTAAATTGCAAGGAATTGAAATAACTGGAAAGTACAAAAAGGCAAATTTAAATTGCATTAAAGATAAATTACCAGGGAAAGTAAAGAAAGCGGTAACAAAAGTCGATAAAAGTGGAAATCCAGATTGCCAGAAATTCCATGATTCGTCGTTCTCCAGTAGACTTGTACAATAGATTTCTGATACCTCTGAAATTCTGTCTCCTTCTTCACGCTTTGTTCTATTTATAGCCTTCTTCAACATAACCACCTAAGAACGGTTTAGAAACTACTACCCCATGTTCCCATGCACGAGATAACTATTCCCTCGATCTCGACCTCAGCAATCGAGTACTTTAAACTACTTATGCCCACCTAAGAACGGTTTAGAAATCGCTACCCCATGTTCCCATGCGCGAGATAACTGCTCCCTCGATCCCAACCTCAGCCATCAAGTACTTTAAACTGCTTCTGACCACCTAAGAACGGTTTAGAAACCACTACCCCATGTTCCCATGTGCATGATAATTGTTTCCCTCGATCTCGATTCCAGACATAAAGTACTTGAACTGCCTCTAACTTCCCTCAAACTTAACTTAACACTCGATACTTATTATCGATTTTTTACTCCCAATCATGTTCATTGAATTTCCTCTATCCTCTTTTGATTCATATATCGATTTATCTACTTTCGAATTTATATCTCGATTTATCCACTTTTTGATTCATATCTCGATTTTCCCCAACACATGGTCATCGAATTTCTTTTATCCATTTTCGATTCATATCTCGATTTTCCCCAACACATGGTCATCGAATTTCTTCTATCCATTTTCGATTCAGATTCTCGATTTTCCCCAACACATGGTCATCAAATTTTCTTCTACCCACTTTTCGATTCATATGTCAATTTTTCCCACCAACAGGTTTATAAGAAAATATTTAATAAATCAATTCTTATTTAATTAGTTCAAAGTAATAAAATTTTTAATTATTAATTCTTTTAATCCTTTAAAATACGATTATTTTATTAAGATAAAATTTAATATATGACAAACAAGAATAATAAGATCCAAAAAATTATGACATAATAAAATCTAACAAAGGTAAATTATAAATAAAATAATATTAGTTACTACTAAGATTTATATAAAATATTTTTAAAAAGATAAATAAGAAGAAAAATTAACTTTGTGTTCTTCAAATTGGTTGAAAAGATTGAAAAAATCAAATTGTTTGGAGAAATTAAGGAAATATGAATAAATGAAAGATAAGAGAAATGAAATAATATAATGAACTAAGTCATATAATTGAATAAAGAAGTGAGTAGAAGAAAAGTAAAAATGTTAAAATATAAAAATAATGATCTTATATATAATAGAGAAAGAAAATGAAATATTTTTAAATTATTAATATTTTAAATTTTAAATTTAAATATAAAATTAGAACAAGAGACGAGACTAAGGTGAAAATTGCATTACTCGTCTCGACTCAAACTTTTTAAAGTAGAAAAAACCTAAACTCGAATCCACTTTTGCCCTAATTCCAAATAACTCGATTTTTTGTTGTGAAATTTGAGACGAAGACAAATCCATCATTCCATGTATAAGTTTAATTATTATCTTTGTTTTAAACTTTTTTTTCTTTTCACGTGTAAATATTAAATTATGAAATTGGTGTGTATGATTAATTGACTATTTACATAATAGAAAATAAGAAAATAAAAGAAATTACTTTTTATAAATGAAAATTAATTTGCATTAAGAAAATTTAAGAAGCTAGATCATTTTCTTTTACAAAAGTATAATGGATAAGTTGATTTTTAATTTATAAAAAGAAGTTTAATTTGTTTTATCTTCTTTATTGTAAATGCATGTAGAAAATTTTATTTAAACAAGATTTACTCATTCACTTAATTAATTAAATCAAAAGTTAACTACTGTTGGGTAACATTTAATTAGTTGATAAGTATCTCTTAATTCACATTCAATTTTTTTAAACACTTTTAAATCTAATAAACGAGTATCAAAATTATTCAAAAACATAAATAATAATAATAATAAAAAAATGTTCAGTTCTAGTCCATTCCGTCATCTTGCTCGTTCATGTTACTACCCTCACCACACCGATCACTACTTAAACGCACACTCCCTCATTCTTTCACTCTGCTTCAGTGCTTCTTCTTCCCAAATCCAAACCTCTCGCAATTCTTCACCATTCCATACACCAATTCTTCATCCAAAAACCTCTCCCTCTTTCACAATTATTTTTCCTCAAAAAATCTCTGATCCTTTCACGCCTATCTTATCTCTGCAATGTCGAACTCCACTGCTTCTTACTCCAACAGGACCACCGGTTCGGACCGTTTCTACAGTCCTCCAGTTTTCCGAAAACTGCAGCAAGAGCAGCAGAAACGGTTGGACTCTCACTCGACCCAACCGGATTCGCAAACCGGTTCTTACGAACCGGCATTGTCCAGGACTGCTAGTCGCAGTAATCTAGATCGTCTTTTGGACGCACTCACACCGTCCGTCCCTGCACACTCTTCATGCGAGGTGCTGAATCGAATTGTTCAATTGACATGCTTTCATTTTTGTTCCTTGTTTCTTAGGCTACTAACTTTCAACTTTCACTATGCTTTTGTGTTGTTTTACGACTGTTCTTATTTTGAAAAATAAAATTGCACTTAGTTGCATGCTTGGTAGTGGTTGATGTCTTAATTGTTTATTTATCACTTGCTTTGGATGTTTGTGGTGCTAACTTGTGGGCCTTGGCTTTGGATTGTGCAGCCTACAATGAAGGGAAGCAAAACTGGTTACTCCGCCGCCAACAATGGCACTGGTCGCCTATATATTGTTCTCGAGGATCTGTGGGAATCCTACAGAGAATGGAGTGCGTATGGTGTAGAGGTGCCAGTAAGCCATGACGGAGGGGAGGACGCAAAAATATACTATGCGCCCTCCCTCTCTGCAATTCAGCTATATGCTGAGAGGTAGTTTGTGTCTCTCCTCATTTTGGTTCACCAATGCTTATAATTTGGCCCCTGTCGTAACTTTATTTTTGTCTCTTTTTGCCATTGGTTTTGCGTCACATCAAACTTTTCTTTCAGTTTTGTTAAATTGGTTTTTACTCATTTCCTACTTCTGCTTTGTTCTATTTTCTGACTCTGATTATGGAACCTTGTGTGTTCGTACTGATTTTCTTACTGTTTTTCTATCCCGTGTAACAAATGCTGAGAACCAAACATTCATGCTTGGTTGGATGGAATTTTGTCATTTTCTGTGATGCATGTTGTATTGACAGGAGTAACCCAGCAGAGCAGCTATATTTTTTTATCAACTTTTATGCTTGAGTGCTGCTTGACTTGTATCGAAGCGTCACACTAATTCATACCAAAAAGTCATATTAGAGAAAACCATTTATTGCCGACCAAATTGTCACTGATTAATTCACTCAGACTACCTTCACTGAAGCAATTTGGTTAGCTAAATGGTTATTTGTTTAGAATAATGGGATAAATTAGTCTGAAGCGTTGATATAAGGTGAAATCTGATTTTTCACTATTCGTTAGTTCGAAAGGCTTTTAGTTTTAGGTGTTCAAAGTTGGTTGGCTAAACTTATAAAGCTATGATGCATATTTTTATTTGAATTTCACATTTTTCACATTGGTACGGTGTTACGTGAAAGTACGCAGTAAAACCATTTCATACACACATTTGATCACCATACTTCCTGTTGCTGATGTTTCATTCCCTGTTTGTTGATGGATGATGGATTTTGTGAAACTTATTCGTAAATTTTGTATTGTGTTTTTACAGTTCACTCTCATTTTGTTTGTCAGTTCTTCGTGTTTTGGTAAAGTTTTTGTGAAGGAGGGAAATACCTTCCTCTATTTAATGCTATCTCAGAACCAAATTATGCTTTCAGTTCGTGATATTGTTTTCCATTATTTATTTGAAAACAGGATATCATCATGCCACCATTACGACATTTAACATGTCTGGTTATTAACATCTTAATTGTTGGAATGAAAACATGCAGGAGGTTAGAAGAGGACAATAGCGCTGAGTCTTCTGAGGAGACAAGCAGCTCAGCTGAGGAGCTTGTCTATGAATTCTTCCAAGGAGCTCAGCCACATATTCGACCTCCTTTACATGAGAAGGCAAGTCCCATCTTTTTAGATCCACCTATTAAAATTTCCCCTTTTATTTGGACATTAACAATTTCTTTTTCCTCTCAGATTACCATTCTTGCTTCTGAGTTTCCTTTACTCAAGAAGTATAGAAGTTGTGATATATCACCTTCTAGTTGGTTTTCTGTGGCCTGGTAGGTGTCAGAAAGCTCATCTGTTGTTGTAATTTAAGTTATCACTAAATTTTTCGTTGTCCAAATTGAACTCGGGTCCAGGTATCCAATATATAAAATACCAGTCGCATCATCAATCAAGAGGGTGGATGCATCTTTCCTGACCTACCATTCCCTGTCAGCTAACTATAGAAGTATGTTTTTCAATTTCATTCTTAGTTTCCGACAATTTCAAATACGCAAGGAGTGAAATTCCCGATAATTGTCCCTAACTAGTGATATCATTCATTTATCACAGGGAAAAACTTTCCGGAGTTTAGTAGCTGGAAGGTCCATGGTGGATCCTTAAATATGTCTCTTCCAGTTTTTGCCCTTGCCGCTTATAAGTTGAGAGGCTCAATGCTAGCTCCTAGTAGAGGCTATGAATGGCAGAAAGTTGAGTCTCTATTGAATAATGCTACTGACTGGCTACAGAATTTGCAGGCAAACCACCCAGATTACCTGCACTTTGTTAGCCACAGTACCCTGTAGAGATACTGAAGAATATGATTCAAAATATTCTTCCATACATTCAGGAGTCAGAGAAGTTCCTGCACAGAGAGTACCGCATCACGATGAAACTGAATTGCTATGCTTGAAACTTTCTTACTAACTAGATTCAGTCTCAGTTTTATGTTATTTTTGGTCTGTTCATAGATGTTGCGGTATATAGTACACGTCACAAGCTCTTGAGTTTATTCATGGTTTAGTGACATGTTGTTTATAATTGAACTATATTAAAGTCCCATGAAAAGCTATAGGCAATAGTAATTTGTATGCCATAAGAGTAAGAGATGAAAGAAATGCAGTATAGGAAATTCAGAATATAAGGCCCTGCCTTTCTTTTTTTTTCCTTGTTAATTCAAATTTTGATTCCGGGAATGAGGATAAAGCTGTATCATGTCCATTTCTTCTGGTTTATGGATATTAAAATTGGTCAAAAGTTATCAAAAATTTGGAAAAAACTTGTTCTCTTCATTTTCTATAATTCATTCATACTCAGGATCGGACGCGGTTTTTCTTAGTTGTCTCCATGTTGACTTATTTTATAATAAATTATAAAAATAGTGGTTATACTCGCTGGTCGAGCAAGTATGGCTTGTTTTCTTTCTTAATCTATAAGGAAAATATAAAAAAAAATAGGAATTTGGGCAGAAGATGGACGTGGCTAAAGGGGTGCATGTGGAATAATACAATGTTTTAATAACGTGTTGTATAGTCTCTCCTAAAAATAGTAACTGCATAGTCTCAAAGATTGTAACTTCATACCACAAGTGCCAGTACATAAGCACCCAAGACAAGTCCTTCTTTGCCACTGTGGAGGTGCCCCACCTCAGTGGTTTAATATACATTCTACGTAAAGAACCAAATATATTAATATAATAATATTTAATATAATAATAATATTTAATATAATATTAATATTTACGGTTGAATTTGAGGTTGTAGCTATCAATTACGTTGTATCGACTAGTCGGTGCATAATCTCAGCACCGATTATGAAAAATCCACCAATCCATACATGATGTGTAAATAATGACACTTGCATACTATATTCGGTATGGATATGGAGACATAAAATACATACGCTGAATTATGTTAAGTGACAAAAGTTGATGTAATTATACTTCTAATTGTTATTTAACCATTTAAATTATGTTAATTTTAACCTATTTTTTCTTAATGTAGGATGAATTTGCAGAATACCTTGGTACAAGAACAATGATCATAATTCTCAAGATAATTGAAGAAAAATTGAAAGAAAGAAGAAGATTTTCAGCTTGAGATTCGCCCAAGCGAGACGGATGCTCGCTTGAGTGAAAATACGTTAAAGCTCTTGGGGATTCAACTGCTCAAGCGAATATTTTTCGCTTGAGCGAATGACGCATGACCCAAATTTTTCTATAAAAAGATAAGATTCGTTTTGAGAAATAATTTTTTAGGTTTTGAGAAGAGAAGCGCGACAACTGCTCTAGTTTTCGTCCAATCTTCAATTCTTCTTCATTTGGATCATTGGAATGACCATCATGAGTGACTGTCGCCGCTATACCCAACCGCTAAGGGAGGGGAACCAAAAAAGGCAAGTGGTCGCGACGCAATAGTTTGTGACTCACGTTTTTATAAAATAAGTGGTCATTGCTTTTAGGATGCTCGTTAATCGAACTATCCTTAAAGGTGAGGTTTTTGTAAAAAGAAGTTCTAAAGAGTCGCCACCAATGTTTTAACCATAAACATTGGAAAAGGATGAAAAAAGAAGGCGTTGATTTAGAAAAAAACCAACTTTGACCATTATAACCAGAGTTGGGTAAGAGAGTTAGTTACGCCCCACAACGCCCCTTTCGGGTTCCCTATGACAGATTAATTCAGAAAATAAAGATTCTAGAAATTATGCATTTACCCTATTTATTCATCTACTTGCAGTAATTAAATATCTACATGGCTGTAATTTCTAATGCACATAAAGGAAAGCGATAAAAGAGAAGGAATAGAAAAGAACCTCCGAAGCGAGCTTTTATAAATCTCTAAACTTGAGGATGCTTTTTGGCAGTTCCCTCCCTCTACAAGAGCATTCCTCTCCCGAACAATAAAATTATTAAACTACCGAGTGCCGGATGTCTCAAAAAGAGACTTCCTTAACCGATTTAATCCAAAAAGTATAATCGAAAAGATTACTCAGACTCTGAAACAAAGCAAAAAATGCCTAGAGAAGTTTCACAGTAGGAGAGATAAGAGAGCACTCTCAGCCAGGTGTGTGAAAAATGTGGGAAATGAGCTCCTATTTATAGGCTCGCGGATCTAGGAGGCCAGGATGGCCGTCCCAAATTTTGTTAGGTGGGACGAATGTCTGGAATTTCGGACGACCGTCCCAGGCTACAAAAAGGAGTGAGACGATCGTCTGAGATTTGGGACGGTCGTCCTAGGCCACCAAGGGGGTTGGGAAGACCGTTTAGATTCTGGGACTGCCTTCCCAGGCCACAAAGGGGGTTGGGACGACAGTCTAGAATCTGGGACGACCATCCCAACCTTCTGACAAAAATCCTCATTTTTATTTTCTAAGAAAACCCTCATTTTCTTAAATGGATCCTAGAAAACACTACTAGGGGCCTAATGAAGCCTTGTCCATCTTCGAAATGGAGGATTTCTGAACTTTATTATGAGGTTGGACAAGATTTGGGATCTACAACTGCCCCCCCTTCACTTGACTGACCGGCCGTTGGCGATTGTGCCATAAGATCGGCTGTCGGGTGAAGGAGTTAACCCTCTTGTCAGGTCGTCCTTTGGATGCTCCTTTGGTGTGGTAGCTGACCCTCCAAACAATGAATGTGGTGTCTTCTTCGAAGTTGAACACAGGGTGTTCCCTTTGACCATGTGGTGATGAGTACGAGCCCCCATCTGGTTTGATGAGTACCAACCCCCATTTGGTTTGAGTATCCTTTTGTAAGACTCGTCCTCAGGATGCTTCTTTTGGTGCGGTAGCTATCCACGTGGTTGATGAGTACGAACCCCCATCTGGTTTGTAGTCCCCTTTTGTAAGACTGAATAAGTACGAATCCCCATCTGGTTTGAAGTCCCCTTTGTTAGAATCGCGTAGCGGAATGTTTACGTTTCCGGACAAAAACCAAGAGGGGGGGGTGAATTGGTTTCTTAACAAAAATTAGGGTTTAAAAAATTTACCGATTAAAATGCTATGTAAAGTAAATAGAGCAAGGAAAAAGTCTTACACAGATGATTTATACTGGTTCGGATCAAAAAACCCTACATCCAGTTGCTAATCACTCAAACAAAGGATTAACGCTGCCACTATAATGACAATTTTACAAACAGATAACAATTGAAAAGATAAGGTAACGAAAACACCTCTCTTGAGTCACACAAGAGATGAAGAACAACTTTCCCTAGAGACGGCACAACACACAATCCACCAAGAAAACCCACTTAGTGATTCTTATCGCTTCTAGCCCACACTAGGTTCCAAAAGCCCATTTTTCCTCCAACAAACAGTTCTCTGCCAGTCACAACTCTCAACTTTTGTTTGAAAAAGGTTGTTCACTTTGCAGAGAGCCTTAGAGAACCTTAAGTAGACAAATTATGGTTTGGGAATTGGGGATTTTCGAAACCTGGTGAATTGGGACTAGGGTTTTCGAAACTTGGTCCAATTTTGAAGTTTAAAATGCATATCTGACTGAAATAATCGATTATCTTGAGTGTTAATCGATTATTACAGAGCCAAAATCAACAAGAACCCATAACCACGTGTTTTAATCGATTAATTGCCCTGTTAATCGATTAATAGCCCTGTTAATCGATTAATAGGAGCTTTAATCGATTATTCCAGAGAGCTGATACAGAAAATGGTTTTTCTCTCTGTAATAATCGATTATCCTGTCTTTTAATCGATTAAACCATTGTGTTTTTTATAAAAATGAGTTTTTGAAGCTTCTAAAGAGTAGACTATGTGCTGGCTATCTTAGACTCTAATATTACAGACTCAAAATCATTAAAACAGAGTTATTACATCATATTACAAGTCTTCAAATCTTTACGTCCTTTGTTCTTGAATTGTCATCAAAATCTACAGGCTTCATATTCATGTATGTTCAACATTCATATCCTTGTATGTTTCAACAATCTCCCCTTTTTTATGATGATCAAAATTTTCTTTTAAAGCTCTGTAATAACCTGTTTTATCTGTCATACTAACAAAAAAATTAAACATACCAGATAATATTTAAAGTTTATAAACATAATAAGAGGACATTCATATCCTTGTATGTTTCAACAATCTCCTCCTTTTTGATGATGATCAAAATTTTCTTTTAAAGCTCAGTAATAACCTTGTTTTATCTGTCATACTAACAAAAACATTAAACATACCAGATAATATTTAAAGTTTATAAACATAATAAGAGGCTTTAAATAAATATCTCCCCTATTTTGATTATGCTCAAAAAATTGAAATCTCCCCCTCAATAGATGCATAA